AGGGGCAACAGTTCAATCATCAATATCTACCCCCCCCTGTCCCCAGACCCACTGTGAACACATGCTGGTAGGGGGGCCGCTGTACACAAAACCTGAGCACAGCAGGTTCTTCTCAACTAACTACAAATGTCGGGTAGGGATCCCTCACCTCTGCGTGCAGTCAACGAATACAATTTTTCAGTTGATGAACTTAGGGGTCTACAAGACTGACAAACTTGTGCATTACATGAGTCTCAACTCCCAAAGAAATGTAATTCTAACTGTCGGGGTATTTTTTGCTAGAAACCATTCCGAACCTTCCAAACTCCTACATGTAGGTTTATGATACAGTTCAAGGAAATGGCATTGTGCAGTGGAAATGTAAATCCCTATCGATTCATGGAGGCGTGACCGATACCAATACGTGTAAACCTCAAGCTTGACAGTGCACTTAATACATTGTTCATGTTTACCGGGACTTTCCAAAGTACTGTCTGATTGAAGTTTGGCACTTTCATTTGTGATAGCGACCCACTTGCAAGCTTTCTAAAAGTGGTATATTATTCTAATAGTTGTGCTTAATATCATGCACAATAATGTTGATAATGTAGGAAGCTGGCATTACATGTCAATTGGTTGAAACTATCAGACAAAAGGGTCATAAGAACAGTGCCCACTCTGAGTGCAAGATCTGGTTCCACAAACCATCAAGGAAAATGCACAGTTAATAATGCTTACATGCACTTGGCACTGCATCACAACATGCACAAGGCAAATACATGAAAATGGAGTATACACGTACCGTACAATATAATGTACAATGTACCGTATAGTAGCCATCAGCAAAACAGACATGCACATACTTGTATTGTACAAGCATACGTTGTACATGTACATGTACATTATGCCATTTCACATAGTACATGTACATGTACTGTAAATCAGCAATCTAATCAGGCAAATAGTTTTTCTTACACCCAAAAGGGCACTTTTAGGCAATAAAGAAACTACATGTAAACATGCAGACAAACAATGTCAATGGCAACTCCAATAGATGGATTTCGCATTAGCGCCGTCTGCACATATCTGCATCGAAACCGAGGTTCTCTGTGTTGAACTTCGTCGAGCATGCCCGTGGAGTCCACACAGTACATGTACATGCAATGCCCGGTTCGTAAGTGTGATACCACTTCAGTTTAAACCATGCTCACTGCACAAGATACACCGCCATCGCAGGTACGTTAGTTCGCTGTAAATTGCCATTGTTTTTTCTTTTGATTTCACGTGTAGCGTCATTCTGAAAGACTCTTCAATAAAAATTTGCAGCCTGAAAAGTCTGAATTTAACATACATGTACATGTACCTTTATGTATTTTGTGTCTTAACTCCTTACTTTCAATCACCTGAGCGTATTAAGAATTGAAGCTGACACATGCAGCCTCGTTTTCAAACGCGGAAGTGCGCAGATCGATGCTAAAAGCGTCGTATTGAGATCCCTCTATTCGCCAGCACTTACAGAAACTGTGCATTGGAAAAATGGGGTGCTACGGCAGAACAAAGTCCCTGTAGGACACTGTCTGTGAAAGGCTTATGCCCCAACATTTTCTTACATGTGTGTTAGTATAAAAAAAAATACATAGTGCATATATACAATACTGTACATGCATCCAAAAAATAATACAATGTACTATCTGAAGATTCCAACAATTCTTGTTCCTCTCACAAACAATGATGCATGCAGCTACATGTAGGAAGCCTGAAGAGAAGAGGAAATTCTAAGCTCCAGAATGGACATGCATAATGCACTTGTACGTAGTTTGTACTAATGGTCATTTTGGTGTGCACTGATGCAGTGTACGTACATGTACAATATACTATGTTGGTATATCATGCAGTGTATGTGTAACTACATGAAATTTGTAAACACAAGGAAATCAGCTGATCCAAGAGTAAGTTGTTGGCCTGCCAACTCACAGTTCCAATGCCATGTTTATGTCGCTGAGGAGCAAAAAATCTGCATTGAAAATGAACACACTGGTACACCTCCCCAATGCCAAGTGTTATCAAGAAGGCCGACTGAAATTAGAGTAAACAAAAAGGGTGCAAATTTCATGCAAAATAAAATTTCTGTTCAGCTTAACAGATGACAACCGATATCTACCGGCACATGTACATGTATATATGTAGTTGCAGTTGTCATTATCCTACATATGTACAAGTACATGTACTTGTATGTGTGTTTACATGTACATGCACGTGCCGTGTGTAACATGTACCGGTACATGTCATCAATGGATATGTTGGACTCTAATGGCGACTGTGGAAGATTATACATGTACATGTAACGTAACTTGAAAAACTGCAGGATTGTATTATGGACAAGACAAATCTTCCTTTTTTGGTGAGTCTCAAGTACTAGTGCTTGATTTGGTCTGCAAACGACTACTAAAAAATTCACAATGCAGCAGAGTGTACAACGTTTGCTGCGAATACACTGCATGTGTACAGTAAGGGCTGGTTCATTCTCGCTGCATTTGAACACACGCAGCGCGTAACGTGAACGCCGTATTTGACGTTCGCACTTTCATCTTTTCTCAAGTCTCGGCTGTGTGTGCGTATCCGACAAAACTTTAAAAATTTCATTTTGTCCGAATAAGCAAACATTTGGTGCGTACGCACTATTCATTACTTTCACAAACTGCGTGCAAGGGCGCGCATTTTCATTACGCACTGCACTTTCGTTCACACACTGCAGACGCCTCAAAATAGACCTTCGCGCTGCGTGCACAGTGAATCCGCAGTGAGTATGAACCAGCCTTAATACTATTGCAACAAGATGCATTGAGTCAAAGACCTCTGGCATTTCACAACTTATGCAGTATCGATGCTGATTAATAAATTTACCTTGGCTGACTTCACAAAGCAATGAATATCCTCCTTCTGTATCATGAAAAAAACAGCGCATGTACACTTTTCAGAGTTCAGAGACTGACGAGTGTTTTCATTTTTTAAACATGCTAACTTCCTATGTACTGTACATGCACCGGTATATGGGTAATTCCAGAAATTAGGGGGCCATTTTTTGGGTGTCCCTGTCACATCTGACATATGATTTTGTAAGTTCAGAACACCTTTTCTAATTTCCAACATTGATGAATGAATGCAAATTACC